AGGGAAAGGGGGCTTATGATATGAAGGAAGAATCTGATGTGATGGGGGATTTTGATGTGAAGGGGGCTTGTGATATAAAGGGGGGACTCTAATGTGAAGTGGGGACTGATGTAAATGGGGGCTCTGATGTGAAGGAAAGACTCTGATGTATGTGTGTGTGCAGTGGTGGAACTACCGCCGGTGCACGGGGGCCAAGTGGGTCCGGTCCTGCAATATGGGGCAGTGCACGGCCCCGCACTGCTGACGGGCTTCTCAGTGAGGGGGCGGGTCCTGTGACTCACCTCCCCTCCCGGCCGCGTCTATAGTAACAGGCGGCGGGAGGGAAGGTGAGTCACAGGAGGCGTGTGCGCGCACTGCAGGGGGCGGGGCTTGTGAGAAGGGTTGTTTACTGCTTTTTCATGTAATTAGACAAGTGGATTATAATGGGGAATATAAAAATTCGGTCCTGAAATGTCGCTTCTATCCGACTTTGTGAGTGCGGTGGAATGTGAGATCGCAGTCGGAGAGAAGTGACATTTCAGGACAGATCGGTTCTCCTGCACATGCGATTTGCGATGCCGATCTGCCCTGGAACAGCTGGGAAAGCGCTGGAATGCTTCACCTATTGGTGGTCATACATTCCACCGCCGAAAAACTGGGCGGGATTACGCTGAAACGTGTGAACATGTCACCGGTCACACATTCTAACGTAGTCACAACCTTTGATAGAACACCGCCATCAGGGGGGGTATGGCCGGTACCCATTAGACATGTGCACTGGCCAAAAAATAGTTTAGTTTCGTTTTGATTCGGATTTTGTGTTATTTCATTTTTCGGGATTCGGGTGTGAAAGTGAATTCGGATTCGGACGAAATTCGTTAGCGGTAGTTCGTTCGTTTGCAACAAAGTGAGATTTGAGGGGAAATTTTTTTTTCTCCTTCTCTAAAGGCACTTTGCTGCAACGAACGAACGAAAAGAATAAGAAACAAAAACGAAACAAACGAACTACCGCTAACGCATTTCGGAAAGGGAAATTCGGATTTGTTTGCATTCATTATATCTGTAATTCGGATACATCCGAAAATGCGTCCGAATTTCGATTCGGAACGAAACGAATCGCACATGTCTTGTACCCATGTGAGGGGTCTGGGGGGCCTCTTACATGGGTATCAACTGTACCGGGGCGGCATGGCAGTGGTGACAGGGGAGGGGGTGGAGGAGGCCGGGCCCCAGCAGCAGCAGGTAAGAAGAGTTGGGAGGAGGTACAGGGAAAGGGATCCCGACGACCAGACCAGCCCACCTGGGACATAGAGAGTGTCAGGTGGACTATGCTGGATCTATGGTGTGCTATACAGGATCACAGGTAAGTCCAGCACGCTACTGCAACATTGGAGACCGCTGGGGGCGGGGGCCAGTGTGATCAGCCCCCGCTCCTCTGTCTTGAGAGGGGGGCCCAAGATAAAATCTTGCACAAGGGACCTTTGGTTATTAGGTCCGCCACTGTGTGTGTGTGGGGGGGGGTTGGTGGTTCTGATGTGAAGGGATTTTGATACGAGAGGGGCGCT